ACTAGGAACTTCAAGTTGGACCTAATCTGGTTACTTTAATGGGCTTATACCGTCTCTACTCTTTTATGTCTTGCTTTTACTCAGTACAGTGTTTAAGATTCATCTATGTTGCTGTATACATGGGTAATTTATTCCTTTTTATTCCTGAGTCATAGTCCATTATATGAAAACGTACAATTTGTTGACCCATTTACCTGTCGATGAATATTTGGGTTGTTTCCAGTTTGAGGCTATTATGAATAAAGCCGCTATTAATATTATTTTTTAAAGTCTGTTTGTAAATATGTGTACATTTCTCTTGGGTGAATACCTAGAAGTAGAATTTCTGGGTCATAGGGAAGGTATACATTTAACTGTACAGAAAATTACAAGTTTTTCAAAGTGGTTCTAACATTTCACACTCCCACCGGCAAGTAGGAGTTCAAGTTGTTCACCATTTTCTATAGTATTTGGAGTTGTTAATCTTGATTTCAGATCCTGGTGGGTACTGGAAAGTCGTTGTGTTTTAGTGTGCATTTTTCTGATCATTAACAAATTAGACTTGTCCTTTTAGTATTGGGTTGTAGGAGTTACTTATATATTCTAGAAACAGGTTCTTTGTCAAATGTATGCATTGGAATATTTTCTCCTGGTCTGTGGCTTATCTATTTCTTCTCTTGGTGGTGTTTTTTGATGAACGGAAGTTTTCTTTTTGATGATGTCCAGTTTGTACATTTTTTCTTTTATGGTTAGTGTTTTCTGTTTTGTGTAAGAAATATTTTCTTCTGTGTTTTCTTCTAGATGCCTTATATGGTTACTTTTTTATCCTTTAAGTTTATGATCCATTTTGAGTTATTATGTTTGGTTAAGGGGTCAAGGTTTATTTAATTTTTTTTCCACATGAACATCAAGTTGTTGGTATTTTTTTAAAAGATTTTATTCATTTGAGAGACAGAGAGAGAGAGAGACAGAAAGACAGAGAGCAAGCGCTAGCAAGGGCAGGGGCAGAGGGAGAAGGAGAAACAGACTCCCTGCTCAGCAGGGAGTCCAATGTGGGGCTCTATCCCGGGACCCTGGGATCATGACTGGAGGCTGACTGAGCCACCCAGGCACCCCTGTTATAGTGATATTTATTGAAAAGATTGTATTTTCCCTATTGAGTTGTCTTGATGTATATGTAACCATGCATATATATGGTTAAATAGCCTTTGTCAAAATTATTTTATATACATGGACCTATTTCTTCACTCTGTTTAATTGATCTGTGTATTCATGTGTCTACACTACACTGTCTTGAAGAGCATTCATACTACAGTAAGATTTGACATCAGGTAATGCATGTCCTTCCATTTTGTTCTTTGGGTCCCTTATTTTTAATGTGAACATCTTGCATGTCTTTCATTAATTTTTCCATAAATATTTTATGATTTGGGTGCAATTATGTTTTATTAAAATGAAAATTTGTTGCCAGTTTTGATATATTTTCAAAAATGGCTGCAACAGTGTTTCCAATCCTTACATTCTGGCAGAGTCTAGCAAGAGCTGGAGTCTACTTCCTGTACTCTTGAACTGACTGGGTCTTTGTGACTGCCCTAACAGATTGTGATGGGAGTGATACTGCATGATTCTGGAAGCCAGGTTAGAAAAGGTGCATAGCCTCTGCCGGGCTCTGACTCCTGGGACTCTTGGAAGCCAGCCCCCATGATGTAAGGAAGCCCAGGCTACCTAGAGAAGACAAGAGGAAGTATACAGATGACAGCCCCTGCTAAGATTCTGACTGCAGCCAGCATCACATGTTAGACGCGAGTGCTAATGAGTAATCAAGGGCCAGAGGTTTGGGGCACCTGCCTCTTCGGTCACTAGGAAGATAGATATTGGCCATTCTACTGATGATTTTTTCTTCTGTGTCCAATTTGGAACACTGTGTAACATGTCTAAAAATGAGAGGAATTTGAAGTCATCAGAATGCATTTACAGAACGCTGCATGAGACATAGAAGAATGAAGTTTTCTATTACCTAGTTTTCCTTCCTGGATTCTTTTTCAATACTCTCAGGGTTGCCTTTTAGCTTATTTGTAAATATCAGGAAAAGAGGAAGGAGGCCCTAGAAGAAAGCCTAAAAATAAATTGATCTGGGGACAAACAGAAAGGAAAGGTGTTAGTGATTGGTAGTGGCTTCCATTCTGTCTATATTATTCCCTAAGCTGGGGAGTAGGTACACGGATTAATACTTTATGCATATTTATACATTTTTATATGGTGTATATATGCCATTTCCTTTTAAAAAATGTCTACCTCTGTATAGACATGTACACATATAAGAGATACACATATATATGTATACATGCATGAACATTTTTTCATGTATAAACACTTTAAGAGAAAATGAGGTTTTAGTTTGAAGAAAGGGGCTTAAGAAATGGCTCAAACTCTTCATTTGTATGAAAGAACTTCTTGAGAAGGATGCAAGCTGGTTGTTCTGTAGAACCATGAAGATTAAATAAGAATGGGTGTAAGTCAAAATAGACCTTAAGATGGTCATAGAGAAGAACTGCTTGAAAACCCTCGTTCTTGAGCATTGAAATGTGCTGCCAAGAGAAGTTGTGCAGTTTTCCCTCCTTGGAAGTCTTGAGAGAAAACATGGCCGACCTTTCTGCAGTCACACCACGAGGGGGTAGGTTCTCTCTCCGGGAAACTGGGTCTGTCCTGGCCGATCTCACTGCCCAGGGAGGATGTATACAGAATACAGAAGATGGAGACAGCTGGCTTTCAGGGAAAGAAAACTCTAATCCTTTTTTCTTCTACATTATCCCTTAGGACAAAAAGGCCTACTCTTAACTCAATGGTATTTATCAACCCCCAGTGCTAAAGGCTTGGTGTATCCTGCTCCGCCTGTCGTTTGAGGGATTTCTTTTTCTTCCGCGGGCTGCTTCTGTAACCTGACTTCTGAGTGCTTGGGCTGGTGGCTCTAGAGAACTGAGGCAGAAGCTCTTTCCTGGTTAAGTTCTTGCTTCTGTAGAGTAGAGACAAAATACATTTCTCTGACTATCCCTGTTGCTCTCATTTTACATTGGCTTTTCTTTCTACAGCCTTCTTGGGTCTCCTTTGGTTCTGGCCTATGTTGCTTCTGGCAAGGGTGAAAGCATTTGCGAGGTCAAGTACAGGTTATTGAAGGAGCCATACTGGCATTTGGATTCTAAGACTAACAGTAAATAATGCCCATCGGCTAGTTTTTATTCTTTGTGCATGTATATCTTTAGAAGACCTCAAAGATAGTATTTAGGTCTGAATTCTGTGCTCAAAGGCCATCTTTAACTTCCCAAGAGAGATAACAGCCAGTCAGATCAGGGAAATTAGCCATGGCACTCAATGAGAGAACACAAGTTCGAATGGGTCACCCATCTATTGCTCCCTGCACGTCTTCAAAGAGGGGACCCTGAATCTCAACACTGTACCAAGTTGCTAGGACAGTTTTGGTTATCAGAAGATAAATACAGAAACATAAGTCCGTGTCCCCCCCCCTCCTCAGTTTCATGACAAGGATGCACAAAATCAGATAAGGCACAGGGTCAGCTTAGGGCAGGCAAGGCAATGCTCTATATTTACCATACTCAGCTTCTTAAAAATTAAAAATAATGTCTATCTACCCTTTTCCCACCTGGTTATGATGGAAACATTTTTCATCTTAAAATTTGGAGTTAAAAATTGTATTTTTTCACGCAAGTCCTTTTCAGTTCTGCTAAGCCTTCAAGGGGTTGTCATTGATTTAAAAATTGAATCATTAGTGACAAAGTTTTTGATAAATTCACTGCTAGGATGAAGTGGCTTTAGCTGCTGAGTACACCCTCAGCAGCTGTGAAGACCCGCTGAGAAAACATCTCCCACCCTGAAGCTCCACTCAACAATTTGGAAAATTTTCTTCTTCCTCAACATCCTGATGAGGACTCAATTTCTTATCAGAATCCCCCCTCCCCTTTTTTGAGGGCCCAGAAGAAACAGGCAGGGAATCCTACTTGAAGTTAAAGCTGCCAGTCTACTGTCCATCCCTACTGCATTTTTCCTAAGAAATTCTGGAGCAGAGGCTAGCCAGTAGGAGCTTGAGAGGCTGCATGGTAATTTCTCCTGGGGCACCAATTCCTTCTGCTGAACTCTGTTCTCCTCAGCCCCTGATATTTATGTTAAATTTAGCATAATGATCACATCATAAGTGTAAGGTCAGACTCTTCTTGAATCATTTTTCTCTTCATTCTGAGGTCAGAATTTTATCAAATATTAAACAGATTCAGCTTTTTTTCCCTTTCTTTTTAATGGAACTGTGCCCAGAAGAACCAAGCCCGGTTTAAACACTGATGAGTAAAAACAATAAAAAAATGGATCAAGTGACCTTGGACAAGTCACCTCACCTCTCATTGATTTTTGTTTCCTACGGAAGGTGTGTGTGTGTGTGTGTGTGTGTGTGTGTGTGTGTCGCGAGCTAAATATTCCCAGGGGCTTCTTACAGTTCTAACATGCCACTAATCGGAATTCTAGGAGGGCTGGGGGTTAGGAGTCTGGAGACCCAGGATTTCTCTTCGTTCCAGGCCCTACACCTTAGAAATACTTGTTCCTTGAAGAACCTATACAGATCCCAACAAAATAGAACAGAAACAGAGAAAAGGAGAGTTTCTGAACGGTTCGCACGGGACACTTGCGCCGCGTGACAAGTGACAGGTAAAATAGGTAGCAGATTGGCACAGGCAGAGAAGAGTACCCCAAGACGTGACCGCCTCCTAGAAGAGTCCCCTAGGACACCGATCCATGCCCCCCGCCCACCGCCGTCTCCGCCACCTAAAAGCCCCCTGTCCCGCTTAACGGTCCAGACTCTTCCCGCCCGCTCCTCCTCCCGCCCGGCTCCCCACGGAAGGGCCGGACCCCTCCCCCGCCGCTGCCGCCGCCGGGCCAGCGGGGCCCGCAGCGGTGGCGTTCGCGGGCGCTGCCGCATTGGCCGGCGGCTGCGGCACGAACGACGCAGCCTCCTCCGGCGGCGGCCGCGGCACAGGCGCCGGCGCTCCCGGCGGCCCCGCAGTCCGGCCCAGGAGCGCGCCCACCCATGGCCCTCGGGCCGCCACCCCTGCGCCCAGCCCCGAGCGCAGCCGCCGCCACCGCCGCTCGCCCAGGGCCAGCGTAGCCCCCGACTGGGGCGCGATGCCGAACGCCTCCGGCCTGGACAGAGCTCTTAAGATGTCCCTGCCCCGAAGGTCGAGGATCCGCTCGTCCGTTGGTGAGAGGGGAGGGGCGCGCGGCGGGGAGGGTCGGCGGGGCGGGGGCGCCGGCGCGCGGAGGGGAGCCACCGCCCCGCCCTCCGCCCTCCGCCCGCCTCCCTCCGCTGGGGCCTGTCGGTGGCCGCCCGCACCTGGGGGGCGGGGCGGCCCAACACCTGCGCCGCAGGAGGGGGCCGGGGTGTCCGAGACCCCGGCGCGCTCGCGGGGCCGCGGTGCGTGTGCGCGTGCGTGCGAGCCGCGGCGCGCATGCCCGTCCACCCCCACGCGGGGATACCTGGTGCCCCGCTCGGTGGGCGCAGAGACAGTCTGGCGTGTGCCCTGTCCCGGCGTGGTGTTTGTAGCAGAGCCCTAGGGAGCCAAAGGGTCACAAGAACGTTTGTCGCAACCTGGGCCCGCGGGCCTCGAGCGCACACGGTGACGACGCACTCGCTCCCGACCACCTGCACAGCCCCCCCCCCCCGCATTCAAGGGCCCGCGCGCGGACGCCAGACCTCTAAAGCCACCCCCACACCCGGGTGCTTCAGACGCAGCACCGCGGCCCCTCACGTCTAGACACTTGCATTTTGTTTCGTAGAGAACGTATGTAGAAACCCAAATCATGTCAAGCGGGATGTTTGGCGATTATGATCCGCGTCGGGTTACCTAGACCCTTAGGTAATGAAAAATGGAAAGGGAACTTCAGGAACCATCCGCTTTCTTACCATTTCAGGACTGCCGGCAAGTTTGTAGGTCGATCCTCGGTGGGAGGAAGGGACAGGGTTTGCAATTTGGGGATGGGGCACTTGTCATCTTTGTGAGGTTTTTGTTTGGAGAAAATAGGCATATGAAAATAAACGACTTTCCTGTTTCTGTAGTTGAATCACGTGACATGGAAAGAGCTATCAGTCCTTTGGACCAGTGTTTCTGAGTAACGTCAGGGCACCTTCAGATCCACCTGAGGACAGTCCCAGTGTGAAAGGATCGCGGGCTGAGGGCTAAGGCTAGACTGTGGGGCCTGTGGACAGAAGCCGGGAGACCAGCTGGGAGGGGACAGCGGTAATCCAGGTGCCAGATGGTACCTGTGGCAAGGCTAGGGGGGAGGCGGGGAGAGTGGGCATGTCCTCCATATATCTGAAGGTGAGCCAACAGATTTGGTTGTGATTTGGACGTGAGGTTTCAGTAAAAGGAGAATCAGAGGGTCGCTAGGAGGAAAAAGAAAGTTGAAAAACCTGCCACTCGTGGAGATGGGGAAAACTGCAGGAAGAACAGGGCTCTTATTTGTTTGTGGGAGGGGCGGGGGTTAGGAATTTGATTTTGAAGTGCCTGGGGGAGCATGGATTGGAGATGTTTACATTTATCAGCCCTGAGTTCAGGAAAGTGGTCTAGAGCAGAGACGTAAATTCAGGTATCCTCAGCAGGACCCGTTTCTGTAGCTGTGTGACAGAGCCCCACTCTTGGCCAAGTCCTGCGTTTGCTCTAATGCTGTGCTGTTGCTGTCTTAGAGGCCTCAATGATTTTCGAATGAGGGCCCTGCATTGTCATTTTGCAGTGGGACCTGCCAGTGATGTATGTAACCAGAGTGTAGAGAAGTGGCCCAGAAGAGAAAGGTCCTTGGACAGAGGACTGGGTAGATGGACATTTCAAGGTCAGGGAGGTTAAGGCAATAGCCATGGGGCTCAGAGGATGGCCAACGAGGTCCGAAGAAAAGTCCAGAGCGGTGCTCTGAAGCTCAGTGAGCCCACCGTCCTGAAGGCAGGGGTGCTCAGCTGTGCCCAGTGCTGCTGGGAGCTCAGGAAAGGCGAGACCTGAGAAGAGTCCATCATGGAGGGCACAGGTGACCTTGCAGTCTGTTTTTGTGTAAGCATGGGCAAGAATGTCTATAGAACAGCTTGAGAGAGAGAGAGAGATGGATGAGAGGATATTGGAAACAGCAAGTCCAGAAAACTCTTTTGGGTGACTTTTGTAGAAAGGGGGAGAGAGCAAATTGAGTGATAGCTGGAGGGGAAGATGTGAGTTCCAGAGAGGTGGTTTTATTTTAAGGCAAGTATTATAGTCATACAGTTGATGGTGTAAGTGTCAAAGTAAGGGGTTTTTAGGGAGAAAGGGGGGACGGTGATCTGAGATCAACAGTGAGGAACAGGGTCATCAAAGTGGAGCAGTGAAGGCAAGAAGTCCAGAGGTGGGGGAGATAGGGCATTTGCTGATGAAAGGCTGCAAGTTCTAGAAGACAGGAAGGTTCTAAAAGGCGGAGTTTCTGTGAAGAATTTGCATATGGTGTGAGGAAGAAGGGGGACGCTCCTGTGAATGAGGATAGAGGGCCTGATAGGCTGAGTTTAGAAGTGCTGGGGTTGGGGGAATGGCAAGGGGAGGGCTGGTCAGTGCTGGAGAGATGGCCTAGGAGTGTCCTGAGCTCTGAAACCACTTCTTTCCAGTGCCCGCATGAGTGAGACGTTTCCATCAGCACAACCTGCACTCAAAGCTTTGGGTACCATGGTCAAACGTTCTGCAAAATATCTTCACTCCTTTTGGTCCTTTACTTCTCCACGCATATTTTTAAAAGAACCTGTTTTAAAATGAGACAAAACAACATTCTTTTAGTATTTTTGGTTACATTTGCATTAAATTTATAGATTAGTCTGGAAAAAGTAGAAATTTCAAAAAATGTCCTTTTAACCAGAAATGTGGATATTTCTCATCATTTCTGTGTCTTCTTTTAGGTCTTTTATTAAAGTGGTATAATTTTCTCCATAGATTTTAAAAGGCTTATTCCTAGATACTTCTGTTACTAGAATAAATGGGGTTCTTAAAAAATTACATTTTTAGGGGCACCTGGGTGGCTCTGTGGGTTAAAGCCTCTACTTTCAGCTCAGGTCATGATCCCAGGGTCCTGGGATCGAGCCCCACATCGGGCTCTCTGCTTAGCGGGGAACCTGCTTCCTCCTCTCTCTCTCTCTGCCTGCCTCTCTGCCTACTTGTGATCTCTGTCTAATAAATAAATAAAATCTTTAAAAAAAATTACATTTTTAGTTGGGTTGCTGCTGATGTCTAGGGAAGCTGTTGAATTTTTATGTTGTGTGTCCACAACCTAGTGCACTGTCATAACTTTTCAAAGTTTAGGATTCTTTTAAATATTTTTTGTAGACATCCACATTATCTGCAAATAATAATTTCACTTCTTCCTTTTGATTGTTATGCCTCATAATATTTTTCTTATTTGATGATATTTGCTATTACTCCCAATGAAAAGTTTGACCAGAAGTGCTGTTCTTGCTTTGCTCTTAGAACATTAAAGGGAATGCTTCCAGAATTTCATGTGCAGGCTAATATTTGCTGTTGGAGTTGGTAGCTGCTCTTTATTACTCTGTGGAAGCGCTCTACCTTTCCTACCCAGTGCTTCATTTAGGACAGAGCCGGGTTTATCGCGCACATTAAGATAATTATAAGGAACCAGCAAAATACTTAAAGATACCTGGGTGGCCGTCAGGTCTTTCCCTCTCCTGTCTGGATCTTCGTATATACGATTAAAAGTGAATTGCAGCAAACACATCAGACTGGCCCTAATAAAAACTAGTGACGTCAACAAATGCTTTCAAGGATGCAGAAAACTGGAAACTCCTGCGTGGCTGCTGGGAATGTAAAACGGCACAACCACTCAGGAAGAATGTTTGACAGTCTTTCTTCCTTTTTTCCTTAATTAATTAATTAATTAATGTTGACACACGGTGTTACATTAGTTTCAGGTGTGCAGCATAGTGTTTGGCCATATGTATCTGTCATGCTATGCTCACCGCAAGTGTGGCTACCAGCTGTCAACATTCAGTGCTATGCACGCTATTCCCTATGCTGTACCTTTCGCCTCCGTGACTTACTCATTCCATAACTGGAAGCCTCTGCCTCACCTGCTTTGTCCATCTCTCACTCCCCTCTCCTCTGGCAACCACCAGTTTGTTCTCTGGATTTATGGATCTGTTTCTGCTTTTTTGTTCTGTTTTGTTTTGTAATTCCACATATAAGTAAAATAATATGGTATTTGTCTTTGTCTGACTGCTTTCACTGGGCATAATACCCTCTAGGTCGGTCAATGTCATAGCGGATAGCAAGGTTCCATTCGTTTTATGGCTGTATATTCCACTGTGTATATAGACCACATCTTTATCCATTTCAGTGATCAGGGCACAATTATCAATGGACAATTAGGTTGTATCCATGTCTTGACCACTGTGAATAATGCTGCAGTGACCCCAGGGGCGCTTATACCTTTTTGAATTAGTGTTTTTGTTTTCTTTGGGTAAATACCCAGTAGTGTATATGTAAATACCCATATAGTATTTCTATTTTTAATTTTTTGAGGGCCGTCTGTACTTTTTTCCACAGGGGCTGCCCTGTGGAAACAATTGAAACTTTAACTTCAAGTAAGATTCCCTGCTTGTTTCTTCCGGGCCCTCAGAAAAAGAGAGGGGGTGTTCTGATAAGAAATGTGTCCTCAGCAGGATGTTGAAAGGATAAGCAAGCTGTGCTACATCCACACCGTGGAATACTAATCAGAAATAAATATGAACCAAATACTGGCCCACACGACAACTTGGGTGGGTCTCCAGGGAGTTGTGCTGAGTAGAAAGAAAGTCCAAGTCCAATCCCAAAATCTACATGTCATTTTATCCTATTTATGCAACAGTCATGAAATAGCAGAACTATAGAAATGGAGAGCAGATTAGTGGTTGCCAGGAGTGAAGGAAGGTGTTGGGATGGGAAGAATAAAAGAGCCACACGAGGGATCCTTGTGGTGATAGAAATGTTGAGGGAAATTGGAAGGGGAGGTGAACCATGAGAGACTATGGACTCTGAAAAACGATCTGAGGGTTTTGAAGGGACGGGGGGTGGGAGGTTGGGGGAACCAAGTGGTGGGTATTAGAGAGGGCACGGATTGCATGGAGCACTGGATGTGGTGCAAAAACAATGAATACTGTTACGCTGAAAAGAAATTAAAAAAAAAAAAAGTTCTGTATCCCGACTTACCCAA